CACCCCTCTGAGCACACCCCCACCCAGGCCCAGATCTGCCCCTCAGTCCACCCCTCTGAGCACACCCCCACCCAGGCCCAGATCTGCCCCTCAGTCCACCCCTCTGAGCACACCCCCACCCAGGCCCAGGTCCACTCCATAGTCTGTACCCCTGAGCACACTGGCACCCAGGCCCATGGCCCTGAGCATACCTCAGCCCACACCCTGGCCCAGGCCCCAGCCAAGGTTTCCTCGCATGCCTTAGGCCACTCCATGGACTACATACTTGAGCATCTAACAGTCCATACCCCAACCAGCAACCCTGCTCATCTAACCTATACCCATGGCCACACGTTGGTCCCTCCCCCAACCTCTGCCCCAGACCCTCCTCTAACTTCTGCCCTTGCTACTACTCCTGCCCCAGCCCCTGTTCCAAAATTTGCTTCAATCCTTGCCCCAGCACTGGTCATGGCCCCAACTACCACTCCAGTTCCTACTCCTACCCCTACCTCCACCCTTACCCACAGCCTAACTCCTATTCCCTCTACCCTGACTGTCTTCAATCAAGACCTCTCCACTGGCCATGTGATCTATGCTACCCCCATGGTAAAGAAGAACTTATTCTATGGGGGCCCCACCCAGAACACTGGGTATTCCAGAAAGGACTTGGGTACCCTCTCCAGGCCCCAAGACAGAGAGGGCCTGGTAAACTCTGGTAAAGTTGAGCAAACATCAAAGCAACTTAGTGGGGATACTGCCAACACCTCCACAGGATCCATAGTAGGTTACCTGGAGTTGGAGAATATGGGATGGAATAACTCAAATGATGCCAAAGACAAGTTCTTACAGCCTAAGACCTTCCCTTACCGCAGCTTCCATCCTTGCAATTCTGAGAGGAGAGAAACAGACTCCCGGCCTCCAGTCTATCCCAAATTCCTGGTCTACTCCAAGGATGATTCACCTTCTCAACCTTGCTTTCATTCTCCCACCAGTGTCCAGAATTCAATGTACACTGCTCCTCCACCATGCACTCTTTCTCTCCCTCTTGTTTCTCCCAGATCCTTTGTTCTTCAACAATCTACCAACCACCAGGTGAAGCCCTCCAACTCAACACAAACCCCCACCTTACCCCCAATCTTGATACCCTCTTCCCAGTTTCCCATCCCTTCCCAGTTCTCCACCATTTTCCAACCCCCAATCCAACCCCAATCTTCTGAACTTCATGAGAGACTAGGCCTCACCCAAGACTCTGGCCTCCTAAGAACCCCAGGCCCTTCAAAAGACTCTAGAGTTTCCAAGAACCCAGGCCTCGATCAAGATCCAGGCCTAAAAAAGCTGCCAGGCCTTACCCAACATCCTCATCTCTGCAAGAGTTCAGGGCCTGCCCAAGACTCTGGTCTTCGCAAGAATCCAATTACCCAAGAGTCTGGCCCTGAAAAGCGCCTAGGTCCGCCTCAGAATGTAGGTATTCTTAGGAGCCCATGTCTCACCCAACCCTCTGGCCTCCATAAGAACCTAGCATTTCTCCAAAATTCTGACATTCAGAGGAGCCCAGGCTTTGTGCAAGAGGCTGGACTCTGCAAAAGTCAAGATCACTCCCAAACAACTGGCCTCCATCACAGCCCAGGCCTTTCTCAAGATTCTGGAGGTCACAAGAGTACAGGTAATGCCCAAGATTGGGGAGTCTCCAGAAGTCTAGGCCTTGCCCAAGATTCTGGCCCACAGAAGAGCCCATGCCTTGCCAAACACTCTGAAGTACACAAGAGCTCAGGCCAGGAATCTGGCCACTACAGAAGCCCAGGCCTTGCCCAAACCTGTGGCCTCCAGAAGGGCTCAGGCCTCACCAAAGACTCAGGAGACTACAGAAATCTAGGCCTGACTAAAGATTCTGACCCCTCTATGAATCCAGGCCTTATCCAAGCCAATGAAGCCAAAAAGAAATGTGGCTTTGCCCAAGATGCTGGAACTCACAGGAGCCCAGAACATACTCCAAACCCTAACTTCCACAAGCACGCAGGAATCAATCGAGATCCTGGCCCACAGAAGGGCCCACGCCTTACCCAAGACTCTGGCCTCCCCACGACTCACGGCCTTACCAAGGAATCAAGCCTCCACAAGGACTCATGCCTTATCCCAAATCCTGACTTCCACAAGAACCCAGGCCTTGCTCTAGGTACTAACTCTGTCCAAGTCTTGGGTCCCTCTCAGACTCCAAAGTCCTCGCTGCCCTCGACGAAGTCATTTGTATGTGAGGAGACTCCTCGGAAGAATGCAGAGCAGCACCTCCCACGGACTCCTGACCCACTCGGTCAGTACTCCTGCCCTTCCAAGGCCCAGGTGATCTACAGTGACCTGCAAACCTTCTCAGAGGTACCTGTATTGATTGAGTTACAACCATCCTCCCATCGAGTAGGTGGCCAAGAGTGGGTGTACCGTCCTGTGGATACAGTTCCTCCAGCTAGCCAGAACTATCACCAGATGGCTATGCCTCCCAAAACCAACTTGAAGACTCACTGCGCTGGGTCAGGCACCCGGGTAGGGCATGTGGTCTTTGATGCCCGCCAGAGGCAGTTCGGAGTGGGCAGAGACAAGTGTGAAGCTCTATCTCCCAGGCGCCTTCGCCAAGAGGCACCCAGCCACTCAGTGGAGAACACCGAGTGGGGATATCAGTGTGTAATGAGGCCCCCGGAAAAAGAGGGGACCAAGGTGCATTAGGAAATAAAGAGGGGAGAGAAATGTTCTGTGATTGATTGAGGACATCCACTCCAGCCCCATTGCCGACACTGGCCTCTCTCAGGGCCTGATGGGAGCTGGAACTATACTTGCCCCTTCTCCTCCAAAGCTGCAGAGCTAAACCCATGATCCCCAAGGCCCTGGAGCTGCATTTTCCAACACACTAGCCATTAGCTATCCATGGCTTTTAGAATGTAAATTAATTAAAATTTAAAAAATTTAAAATTCTGTTTTTCTGTTTCATTATTTACATTTCAAGTGCTCGATAGACATGGGTGGCTAGTGGCTACTACATTGGACAGGACAGATTTAGGACATTTTCATCATTACAGAAAATCCTACTAGGCAGTAATGCTTTAGAGTTTAGAGTCACTTTCCCTGTCACCCATCCCCAGCTTCTTCAAAACTCCCACAGAGCCCAGAGAACTTAATTCTTTTTAGGGTGGCTCAGAGGCCACCTCTGGGGAGGAGGTAAGATGTAGGGATGCCAGATGCCTGATTACCCCAGAATGTGAGAGAGAGCCCAGTCTTCAGTTTTCCTGATCTGGTCTCTTGGGTCACAACTGAATGTATGGAAACCTGCCTCCCCAGTTCTGGGCAGTGTTTGGGGCTCTGAGTTGTTGAGGGAGAAGAGCTCTCTTTGTCAGTGACTAGGAACGCCTGAGATCTGGGCTTCCCAAATTGAGCTCTGGATTCTGAGAGTCCCTTCCTTTACAGGCCTCTAATTTTTCTAGGTGTTTCTGTTTAATTCTCTTGCCCATGGGCTATCACTCCAGAGATAGTCCCCAGGGGAAAGGGTATGTAAGAAGTCCTGGTCCAGCAATGCATAGGTCTGATCTGTAAGCCTGTCCCTGGTGTCCTAACTTTTGTCCCGTTATTCTGGCTCCCTTGTCATCCTGGACTTAAGCTTCGTCCCTGAAAGCATCGGTAACCGAAAACAATTTTCTTCCCCATAATTTCCCTTTGCTCTGCCCCCCCCCTCCAACTGGGAGTTTCCTCTGGATTTGATTTGTAGTTCTGATAACTCGTCTGTGTACACACCAGGTATGAGATTCCAAAGTGTTTTTTCCGTCACCACACATGTGTAACTGAGGTGGGTATCATTAATATGTCCCTTCCCCGAGTCAGATGTCCACTCCTGGGTCACCACCTGTGTGTTCTTGCCTCACACGACTACCACCGACTCCAAGGGGAGTTCCTTTCTAACACCTCTCTGGCTCGGCTCTGACCTTGGGCAGGTCATGTGCAGCCTCTCTAGGACGCAGTCTCATCTCCAAGATGAAGTTATAAGTACATGGACGAACCCTTCTAGACCTACATGACCAGGGCTCCGCTACTCACATGGGATAGAGGGGCCCCCGTTTCTCCCCAGGCCCTGAGGTGTGTCCACCATTATTGTTTGCTATTTAGATATATCCTATCACCCTTCTGCTCCAACTCCAAGAAATGTTTGTGTGGGGCTGACCTGGGCTTGGAAAGAAACAGAACAGTTTATCTCCATAGAAACTCCAACTCCAACCAGGCACTTCAGAGGAACAGTAAAGGATGTGGGGGCGTAGCCCCATCGCTCTGGTAACGGAACAAACTGCATCTCCCCGGACAGCGCGAGATCTGAAAAGAGCGAAGGGAGTGTTGACAGAGGCGGGGCCGGCCCGAGCCACCTGGACGGCTCCTAGAAAGGGGCGAGGCTGGACTTCGGGGCGTGGCCCTGCGGGCAGCAGGAAGAAGGTTACCTGTTGGATTGCTCTGGCCATTCTCTTCCCAACTCTTGCACTTACCCCTTAGGGAAGACGCAGACCTTAAGCCTTTTCCGAAAAAGAGGTAAGGGGAGGTAGACAGGGACGCCGGAGGGCTATCACGTGCCGAAGGAGGGGTGAGTTCGGTGAACCGGCCCATGGGGGCGGGGACCAGAAAAGGAGAAAGGGCAAGGACAGAGGAGGTCTTTATTTGTTCGTTTTCAAGACTGAGCTCACAGCCCTTTATCTGCAGACCGGTTGGCGCACCTGCCTGAGGCACTCTGTCGGCCTCGGGAAGAGAGAAGAGCGGAGGTGCCTTTTGGCCGGTCTAGGCTTCCTCTCGTCTGTGTGGTTCCCCGGCCCCAAACCATAGAGCCGCATGGCTTCCGCGGTCTGGGGGAGTGCCCCCTGGTGGGGCCCGCCGCCCCCGGCCCCAGCCCGCCCGCTCACGGACGTCGACTTCTGCTCCGGAGCGCAGCTCCAGGAACTGACCCAGCTCATCCAGGAACTGGGAGTGCAGGAGAGCTGGAGAGACGGGCCCAAGACGGGCCCAGACCTCCTCCGGGCCAAGGACTTCGTTTTTTCTTTACTCGGTGAGTAACCCTCCCCGGCTTCAGAAACGCGCAGCTCAGCCCCGCCCCGGAGTTGCATATCACAATCCCTTCTCTTCCCGTAGGTCTGGTTCACCGCCGAGACCCCCGTTTTCCGCCCCAAGCAGAGCTCTTGCTGCTTCGTGGCGGGATTCGCGAGGGCTCTGTGGATCTGGGGCCTTCACCCCTAGGCCCCTATGCCCGGGGACCTCACTACGACGCCGGCTTCACACTGCTGGTGCCCGTGTTTTCTCTCGATGGCATCGGGCAGGAGTTGCAACTGGACATGGAATCCTATTATGCCCGGCTCTGCCTCCCGGAATCGATGCAGGGAACCTCGGTGCGAAAGGCATGGCAGGACTGCCTGGGACCCCCAGTCCCAGGAGGACGCGACTCGGTCCACCGCACCCAAAGCGAACAAAGTCCCCAGGATCAGCAAAGCTCCGTGGACCAACCGCCCGGTGACGTCACCGAGCTGGACCCGCACGTGTCTTTGGAAAAATCACCGAGTAACCGTTCGGGGCCCGAGTCGCCTCGGCCAGATGTAACCGACCTTGGCTTTCCCGCATCCCCGAAAGAACTGGGCGGTGACGTCACCAAAGCAACCACGGAGAGTCCCGCACCGCCGCTGTCGGAGGCTCCGGAGGCGTGGCCCACATTGTGCCCGGCCAAGGTGGCTGCGTGGTTCTTTGCTGTGCTGGCTGAGGTCGCCGAGTCCCTGATCCCGGTCCCTGGTGCCCCGCTATTGGTCCACGCAGCCCGCCACGCGGGATTCACCACCATCCTCCTGGCTACTCCAGGGCCCCCACGCCGGCTCCTGCTTTTCGACCTGATCCCCGTGGTGTCCGTGAATGGCTGGCCCGAGGGGGCTCGGAGCCACTCGTGGGCCGGCCCGCTGGCCTCCGAGTCGTCGTCCTTCTACCTGGTACCGGGCGGAGACCCAGAGCGGCCGGGCGCTTCCGGCTGGCAGCTGTGCTTC